TGGAAAAAGTAGGTAAACATTAATTGAGTTGTCAGTTTTTTAAAATCAAATTTAAATTTTGAACTCCAAATTTAAAATTTGAAAATGAGATGAGCTGTGTGCCAATAAAAATGAGAACAAATCTGCACCATTGATTTTAGACAGCAAATGGTGTCCATTGATTTTGAGTCCTGATTATAATTTCTTTTATAATTTTTTTATTCCATGAATTACCAAAGAAGGAAACTTTTTAAAATTTGTAGTGTGAAAGCAAACCTGAATTTGAAGGAGGGACAGACACGTGGCAGAGGTTTCCAAAGAATGGCTTTGTCTTAGAATATAAGATTTTTTATTAGAATATAAGATTTTTTATGGGTTAATTTTTTAATAGTCAAAGTTATTTTGCGTTTCGATATAATATTTGAAAAGAGCTTTTAAAAAAAGTCATTTGCATGTGAAAATAAAAAAAATACTTTTTAAGTATAAAATAATTTGAAAGGGCAATGTAAAAGTATTTTTTTTTTTGCAATGCATTTCGATGAAAAGCACTTCATACAATAACAAAAAATAGGAAATAAATTACAGTAACAATAAAAATTAATAACCACTAGTGAAAAGTAACTTTAACTTAAAGTCATATATATTGTATTACAATCATAAAAATATTATCATTTTTATCATAAGTTTGTAAAAGCTCTAATGCATTCGCGTAGACAATTGATTTCTAATATCATTTATTGTTTGTTATATTGATTTAATTGATTCTGTACTTGGCCCTTCTTATTCATCTTCTCTAAGATCATCTTCATTGGCTTCAAAATCATCAATATTCTCAAATATTGTAAGAAAATCTATGTCACATGAATCCTTTCTCCGAATACAATATTATGGAGAGTGAAGGCAGACCATCTAATAGCAAATTGAGTTTCAAAGTCATAGTTGGTCATGCTTTGTAATCATCCATCTTGCTTTGCAAACTCCAAAGGTTTTTTCAATAACAGTTCTCAAACATGAATGATAATAATTAAGGGTTTCATTTTGTGATCTAAAAGTCGGGGCCAGCTGATGTGTCTCCAATTTATTATGTATTAAGGATTAATATGAGCATGAAATTGATTTAAAAATAATTAAAAGATATGTGAAATGTAATTAAATTGTTATTTTATTCTCATTAATGTTCTCATAAAAATTCTTAAATTTTGCAGTAATTTTCAGCTTAATAAAGAGATAAATTGGAGAGCACAAGTGGATTTGCTTTAGATTTCTGAATCATATAAGATCTTATTGAATCTTCCCTTGAATATTTTTAAGGAAAGTTTTCCTTTAAATATAAAAAGAAAGATTTTAAGGATTTGATTAAAGATACGATTGGAGATTCTAGTGAAGATTCCATTGAAGATATTATGAGAAATTAAAAGATATGGTTTCATCACTACAAAAAAGCAACTCTTGGGAACAAAAAGGAGGCTGGCACATTCTGAAGGAGAGGAACGCAGAGACCAGATGAGAATCCTGTTTTTTGAGCCCAAGACGAAGATTAAAGGAAGATCAAAGCTTTGCAGTGGCGATCAACCATTATTCTTCTTCTACTCATTTCTTTTATTTTAATTTCTTTTCTTGTTTTGTTTAAGCCAGATATGACTGGCTAATTTCTCTTTGTATATAGGTGTATGGATCCAACATGAATCCTTGTTTTGGTTTAATTCTTTTCATTAATAAATTGTCTCAAATTATTTGTGTTTACCTTGATTTGCATGTTTAAATTCTTGTATGAACCTTAAATATGCAAATCAAGGTAAATATCAATGTGAGAAATTGTGTAGGTTGCTTAATTGTGAGAAATTGTGTATCTTGATTTGGTTGAATGCGTTGAAAATCCTTTCATGCAAATCAAGGTAAATATCAAAGTGAAATATTCTGAGAAATTGTGTAGGTTGCTTAATTGTGAGAAATTGTGTATCTTGATTTGGTTAAATGCGTTGAAAATCCTTTCAAATATCAAAGTGAGCATGAAAAGATAATTTAGAAACAGGAATAGGAAATCTGCAAAAATAAATAAATTATAATCATCAATTCACACCTCTATTTAGTATGGAAGCCACATTCCTAACAAGTGGTATCAGAGCTTAGTGATATGTTAGAAGCTTAACAGTCTAGAGTTAAAGATCCTTGTTAGGGCTTCCAATATATTTATTTTTGAAAAAAAAATGCAAGGCCTTGATGTGATAAACAACCATTCTTTGATGGTGTGGATTTTGATTATTGAAAAGGTAGGATGAAATATATATATATATATATATATATATATATATATATATATATATATATATATATATATATATATATATATAACTTCTGTTGATATGTTTTTGTGGCATACAATATGTAAAGGTTTTTCCTCCAAGCCAAATGAATGCTTAAATGATAATGATAAGAAATTTTTCCCTTGAATCTTAGAGTAATGCAAATCTCGAGAAGTGGTTTAAATGATAATATATACGATATAATTAACCATTGTTCTTGTGCTAAAGATATATGGGATACTCTTAATGCTATTTATATTGTTAATGATGAGTTTGTGCATAAAGATGTATATATAGAGCAAAAGAGCAAAACCCATTGGAGAAAGGAAATGGTGACGAATACACCCAAGAAGGGATTGAAAGTGATCTAAGAAGTTCAAAACCTCTTTGTTACAATGATGACATTCAAGTTGAGGTAACAAATACTAAACTTGATTATAGTCCTTTCTATGATGAGTTGAAAATTTCATATAATGAGTTTAATGATGATTTGTTGAATTTGCAAAAACAAAAATTTGAACTCTTTGCAAAATTTCCTCTATTGAAATTGAAATTGAATCATTGAAAAATATATGTGATTTTCAAGAAGAGAAAATGTATTTTACGTGTGAAACCTCAACTATATGTAAAAATTGCATTGATATTAAAATTCAAGTTGAGGAGTCACCTTCCAAACTTTCCATGGTTAAGAACGATACATGCTTATGTTCCATGTTTAAAAAAGAAAAGAAAGTAATGCTTTGATACAAGGAAAATCAAATAATGATTATGGAGACAGTAGTTTGGACAGTGATAACAACAAGATAGCAAATTTTTTGAATGTTGATCTTAAAATGGCTAAGTTATCATGCAAATCTATTCTATGTAATTATGGTAACTTAAGACATATTTCTCACTTATGCTATCATAGAAGAAATTCTTATGTGATAAATGAGATGGTTTGGGTTGCTAAATCTCCTATGAATGCTATTCCTAACATTCAAGGACCCAAGATGAAATGAGTACCAAAAAATCCTCTTAATGTTTCTAATATGCAAAAAATTAGCAAAAAGGTCAAGAAAAGAAAGAATCCTCAAGGAGAATGCCTCCTAGACCCAATGGTTGAATTGTCAATCAAAAGTGGAATGAGACTTCAACCATAGTCTCTCACATACTTACGATTGAACCTAGAAAGTTCAAAATCGAAAAAGAGAAGCAATGGATAATAAGAAACGTTTCATTAATTACCAAGGCCAAGGTATTAAAATTGTACATTGACCCCTAAACTTTACTAAAATTTCCCTTTGAGTCCTAATTGACTTGCTTGACATGAATTGTATCCTTGTATATCTTGTCATCTCAATTTCATGATCAATGAAACATTACTTGACATTTCTTGTCACAATTTCCTTGAACACAACTTGATCCCTAGAACAATTGCTTGATTTCCTTATTTGACCTAACTTGATTGTGAGAGATGTTATAGTGGAGGTGGTGGTGCTGAAAATAATGAAAGAGAGGCTAGTCACCACACTGTGCACCTAGCCAACAAAATGATGAAGCCAATAACCGGAAGAATGAGCAGCCTCCTCACATAGGTCCAGCTAGAGAGCTGAAGGAGTACGAGAGGAAGTTCAATGCCTTTAGAAAGCATCAACCTCGTGTTTTGAGAGAGGATATAACCCCGTTGCAACCGCTAAATGGTTGCAATCATTACATAAGATTTTTACGGTTATGAGAATTACTAATGAGCACAAGGTGTTGCATTCTACTTATATGTTGCAAGGAGATGCATATGATTGGTGGAGTAATACTTCAGGAGCAACAATGCCAAGTTACAAATTGGCAAGTATTTGAGCACATGTTTCTTGAGAAATATTTTTCAGATGATGCCATAGAAAGAATGAACGAGAGTATGATAAAAGTGAATAGACTAAGGACAAAAAAAATAAAAGAAGAAATGAGACTAAATATGTTTGAAACTTACAACACTTATAGAAAAAACTGAAAATAGAAAAAGAAAAAAATATCACATATCTCTAAATAAAAAAATAGACTGAAGGCAAAAAAATAGAAAAATAAAAATTAAATATATCTAAAAAAGAGTAAAATAGGGCGAGGACAAAAAAAAAAGAAAAAAAAATCAAATATGTTGGAAATTTATAACATTAACAGAAAAGATAGAAATTTAAAAAAATTAAAATAGTCGAAATCAAAAAAAGAAGAAGAAAAGACTGAAGCTAAAAAAAGACACAAAACAAAAAAATGAGACCAAAAATGAAAAAAAATACTATTGTAAGTTTCTGATATATTTGATTTGATGTTTTTTTCTTTTTATCTTCAGTCTATTTTATTATTTTTGGTTTACAAATGTCTCATCTATTTTTTCTTCCATAAACAAAAAAGCAAAATAACTCGGGGAATATTCAAATGTGTTCTAATTTTTTTTAAATTATTTTATAAAATATAGAATGAAATATGTATTTTTTGTATTTTATCTTAAAAATTAAAAAATAATTATAATTTTTAAAGTTATTTTTACAAAGCAGCATTATCAAGCAATTTTCTTTTTCTTTTTCTAAAATTTTAAAACTGTTCTTGAAAACCGAAACCACTCATCATTGTTAATACTAGTACATGTGAGGTGTAGTTTCTTTTGTTCTTCTTGAACACTGGCTCCACTACATCCAAAGCAAAGGCGAAGAAGATAACAAGCGACGCATCATTGAAGTTTAGGTTATGGAGGAGCAAATGTACGGAGTGCCGTCGACGGCGGAGTACTCAGACGAGGCGTTGATGACACCGGATAATTTGATATACCCGGCGGAATACAACAGCTTCCTGATGTCTTCCTTCGGTCGGATTCCGATATTCGGATCCGACGAGTTGCTCTCCGCCGCCGCAGTCACCGTCGCCGCCGAACCCTCGTCCAACAATATCACTCCCGAAATTCAGCGCCACCACTACACCTCCTGCGTCACCAAAGCCAAAATCGCTTCTCACCCTCACTACCCTCGCCTCCTCCAAGCTTACATCGATTGCCAAAAGGTAATTCAATTATTCACCCTTTCCTCCTCCTTCTTCTTCCTTTGTTTTGGTGATTTTTATAAGCTTCGACATTTTTATTTATTTATTTATTTCAGTTGGGAGCGCCACCAGAAATTGCGTGTTTGTTGGACGAAATCCGGCGAGAAAATGATCTGTGCACGAAGCACGTGGTTTCCACGTGCTTTGGATCCGATCCCGAGCTCGACGATTTCATGGTCCCCTCCTTTTCCCTTTCTTCTGCACACACACTCTCAACGTGTTGATGATTTTTTGTTTTTTTTTTCTTCTTTTTCATTGTTATTGTGTGGTGAGTGGTTACAATCGTGTGCGGTTTGTTTCAGGAAACCTATTGTGACATGCTGGTGAAATATAAATCTGATCTGACGCGGCCGTTTCACGAAGCAACTACCTTCCTTAACAAGATCGAAACGCAGCTCAGCGATCTCTGCACTGGTGCTTCCGTTACAACCGTTTCCGGTTAGTTAGTTTCTATTTTGCTTCCACTCTCTCTTCTCTTTCTGAAGAAACGCAACCATGGTTTGGTCGAGAACATGAATAGTACTCGTTTAATATTCTTGACTCGTTAACAGTAAATATTTGCTTTCAAATAATACATGACACCTTATCCCAGAAAAATAATATTAATAATATTAAGCAGAAGATATTTTAACAATCAATTAATGTTACTGTCAATTAATTTTATTATTAGATCAAGTATGTTGATCCAACGATTATATTTATTTTCATTTTTATCAAATTATAATTTTTTATATTTAACATAGAATCATAACTAAACAAAGATAAAAATAAATGTAACCGTTAAATCAATATAATTGATCTAACGATAAAATTAATTCATACTAACATTGATAATAATAATAATTGATTCCTACAATTGGATAATACAGACACGCGGATTTTAAAGTTAGATAAGGGAAAAGAAAACCCTAATAAACCAACCGGGCTTTTCTCTCTCCTTGGTTTCTTCAAAAGTCTTCCACAGACAAAATAATTAGTCCAAGTAATGCTTCTGCCTTCTATGCTCAAAATAGTTAAGTTCTAGTTATAAATTTTAATATGCTGATAAATTATAATAATTTGTTAGTCGTCTATTAAATGAAGGCTTGACTTGTATTTGATCCGGTTAATTGTTCCGGAGCATTTGTCTTGTTGTGTTCTCAACTTTTATTTCCCTTATTAACTCCGGCTATTATCAAGCTTTTGGAAGTTTTGACTTTCTCAAACTTCTGCAATTCGTCAAAACAAATTCTGCTTGTTGGTAGTTTTTATTTTGGAAGTGATCATGACATTGTTTTAGTTTCTTGGATGCCAAAAATTATTTGTAGATATGACTTTTGAGTCTTTAATTTCAAGTTGTTATATCTAAAAATCATGTGTCAGTCATATTCTTAACATGATGTATCATAACATGTAATTTGACAGTAGAAATTAGTTCTTCAGGATAAAAACACTCCGAAAATGTATCTCTTCTCCTTATATCCCTTTTTAGGCGTGTGAAGTATTGAGGGAGAATTTTCTTCCTTGTGTCCTTGTACTCTCGAAATTTATGGCTTTAAATTTCTTCTTAGGGTTATATCTAATATAATAATGTAACCGTGCAATCTGCCCATATTGGATTTGACGAACATGCATGATGCGACTTTAATGACATGAAATGATGTTTGCTTGCATACTTGGTTAGAGTATCCAGTTCTAACAGTGCACGAGCAATGCAAGTTGTTGTAAGATTGAAAAAAGAAGAAGAAGAAGAAAAAAAAAGGCCCCTTGGAATTGTCTAATGATATAGTCTGTCTGCAGCATAAGTAGTGTCAGATTTTTGTAATTGTTTTAAATAGAAAGAAGCTGTGTGTTACGAAAATTTTATAAATGAACCCAGCATATATATAGTTGTGGTTAGGTTCAATCCTATTTGACATTCTTAAATCCGTGGAATTAAAATTTGAATAAATATCATTTTCGATCCTCACTAAATTTTATGATGTCCGCTTTAGTTTTTAATAAATAAAAAGGCTATTTGTGATTTTTAAGAAATTCAAAGTGGACTCGTTTAGTTGAAATTATGATCCCTCACAAATTTAAAAAAGACTCACATTATATTAGTCCTTCAAAAGAACTAAAGCGAGCATCGTAAAATTTGCTATTTGCTGAGGATAAAAAAAGATATTTATTTTTAAAATTTTGAGTTTTCTAATTAGTTGAATTAAGGATTGAATGCATTGCTGAAGTAAAGGGCTCAAGCTCGTTGGAAATTGATGGCTTTTCCATCCTTTCTTTCTCATTGCGTTAAGTTCTTGATTCTGTCTCCTATATTTTTCATGGTTCGTGAAGCTACATATTATGAAACAGAAGTAAATAGGGTATTCATTGTTTTCGGTGGGAATTAACTATTTGCTTAGGATTTTTTTTTCCTTAACCTATATACTTCATTATTGAGGCTGGCATACTGTTTATTCTGGTGATTTATAATATTGCTGATGTGGCAAATGTAAAGGTTGGTCAGGTTGGATATGGTTGAGAACTAATATAATTTCTAGTTGATGTTTGAAAGTACAAAATACCTATTAAGTGGTGATTTTTTAATTTTTAAATGGATTCATATTCCATGCTTTAATGGATTCTCCTTAATCATTCTTTTCGCAAAACTATCTTCCTTGAAAGTGTGCCTGAAAAGAAAGTTGACAGGACGTAAAGTTTTTTTTGTTTTTATTTCTTTATCCTTTTTTCTTTTTCTTTTTATGTTTTTATACTGCAACCGCTGCAGGCATCAAATTGGAGCTTGTTACTCGGGAAGCAAAATCTTTCAGATTCTTGCATTGAAATAAGCTGCCGGTGTGTCAAATGTAGGACATGTTTTACCTAGGGAAATCTTTTTCATTTTCACCGTATTCTTTACAAACCTATGAAAATGGAAAATAAAATAAAAACAACGTGGCATTTTTATAATTATTAGTATTAAATAATCATTTTACTTAAAAGCTAAAGTCATTAAGAAAATATGTTTTAATGATTTTTATATTAGACTTTTCTAACATATCTTGTCATAAAAGAATTTATTGAATTTAAAAGATGGACAATACATATTCACTCACCTGACTGAGAAATTTCACAGTTCAATAATTATTAGAAAACTGGAGGCAATGAGAATCATATTTATAACTATGTGGTCATTGGTTTTGATATATCTTAAACAATTCACCTCAAGTTGCTTAGTGGGGTTTACGTTAATGATTTTTGTATTTGGCTTCTCTAACAATAAGTGGAGATAGAATGTAGAAACAAAAAACATATTGTCAGTATTTGCATTTATGCCTTGTTTTTAATTTCTAGTCTTCACAAATGACTTTTAACGCTTAAGCGAGAACAGCTTTTGGTTTTATGTAAGGGTTTTATAATTCTCATGTTGAATGAGAATTGAAATCTCATGTTATAGAAATAAAAAATATGTGGGACCCATGTGTTAGAAAAAATTATATGTAGGACCCATGTCAACACGGAAATCGAAGAGTGTGTAGGAAAATTGTAATTCTCATGTTAAATGAGAATTATAAAACCCTTTATGTAATCCATTTACTCGTCTACTGTTTTAAAACCGTTCACATATATGTATTTGTGATTTTGAATATTCTTACATTTTGAATCTCTGCATCTACTAAATATAACTCATACTAGCTAGTGCTTGAAACTATGCTTTTAACTCTTCATTAGGGAGCTGGAGGGACTTGAACATTGTAAAGTTTGGGTTGCTGATGCCTTTTACTGTTGGTCCCGTTCTTTTGTAATTTGATAGTAGATACTAATGTTGGGTTTGCTTCATAGAGGTGTGAAATGGGGGATGCATGGAATGAGTGAGAATTATTGACAAGTTTATGTTCTCTTGTAACTCTTCATGGATGCATGGAATGACACAATTTATGTTATTTCACTCTCACAAAGAGAAGAGACTCATATCTTTATTTTTTTTATCCACTCTTTTCCTTTTTATCTATCTCATTCTCTCACTTAAAATGACAAATGATACACATTTTTCCCTTCTCGTAAAAGCGAAATGTTCCGTAAAATAAAATGATTCTTATGCATCATCTCTCATTTACATAAAAATTAAATAATCATACACGAATAAAATAAGGGAAAAATGTGTATCATTTTAAAAGATACAAAATTGTATCATTTTAAGTGAGAGAAATAGATAAATTATGAAAAAAGAGTGTGGAGAAAAGGTTTTAAAGATGTGAGTCTCACTTCTTTGTGAGAATGAAAGAATATAAGGTATGTCATATAAAATGACATATATTTTTTTCATAAAATAATATTACTTTATATATAAAGATGATGTGAAGAAATGACATGCAGATATCATACCCATGTTGCAAATAACTTGGATATTTTGATGTAGAGATTTATTATTTTTATCCTACAAATTTAAAGTGAATTTGTTTTTTTTTTTTCTCGGCAATGCACTCCCCCTGTATAAATGAGTCATACACAAATAATAGTTTTCTCCTATTGAAAAAACTATTACCCTTTGATTTAATGGTTCTTTTCCAAAGCGTAAGGTTTAGGTTTTGGAAATGTTGAAGTTCGAGTAAAATTATGGAGTGAATTAGATTGAAAATTTTCACATGCTCTCCCGCAGTTTACGCTGTGAGAAGAGAAGCAGCTTTTATTGATTGATAGAACGTTCAATGCAATCAGCCATGCCATTTAGATCTTCCCCACGCACTATGCCTTCTCTGCCCCATGCCATAGCGTCTGTCATTGCCCTTCATTGTTTTGTTCTCTTTTGCCACTTCTGTCATTCACCCTTTGGTTCTTGCACAACACTTGACAAATGTCACTCTCTAAATGCCATTTCTTTAAAGATAAATGGGTCCCTTCAAGAAAGCAATCGTATTGTTTTGAGTCCACATTAGACTTTGTACTTAAAAAAAAATATAAAATTTATGAAGTATACTTTGCATGTGCTTTGGTGTATCAAAATAAATAAATAATAATTTGTTGTTTAACGATTGGAACAGTAACTGTTAAGGCAGGCATAACATTTTCTTAAATAAGTGCTGAACTTTCGTCGAACATTGATTTGGGTATGATACGATTTAGATTTCTTGATATAAATTTTTGAACAATAATTAATTCACAAAGCAATTTTGTACACAACAAATTTATGGAAAAAGGGTAAGTGGACAAAAAAAATGTGCAAATATATAATTGCTGTTTAAAAATAATGGAGAAAAGATACAGATGTTTGGACCCTCGGGTAGCTGATATCTAGTGCACTCGTGTTTGTTAAGGTCTCGTGAGTTTGTCTTGACTGCAGAATTAAGAACAATAATACTGGGTTTTACTTAGTTTTGGGAAAGGGCATATTGCTTAACTTTGAGTCACTCTCGTTTGGCACTGATGACTGACGATGGATGGAACCAGGCACTGACACTGATGTTTTTTTTCTCTCTTTCTTAGACTTCTTTCCAACGTAGGTCTGGTATGCACAGTGTACTCTTATGCGACCGTCAAATCCTTGTCGGATTGACTGGGTATCAGTAGTTTGTGGGGGCTCATGGCCTACTACTAGTAGCACCAAACAAATTTTCGCCCTACATTTTTTTATTTTTTATATAAACTTTAATTTTCTTACAAATTTTGATTCTTTAAACTGATTGTAAAATTAATTCTGAGTGTAGAAAAAGTTTGGAATTAAAATTTTATGCATCTCGCAAAGGTGATGTTCGTGGGAATTTTCCTACATTTATTTTCAGAGATAGGATATTTTGTCTTGGAAAAAAAGTTGTGTCATTAAAAAAAGTTAATAGTTTAAGAGATAGAATATTTTTATTATCAATATCACTATCAATTTATTTGATCGTTAGATTGATTATGTTAATCTAATGATTCTGATTTAACTTTTTAAAAATCTTCTTTTTTCTTCTTATATTTAATATTTAATATTTAATATTTATTTTTATGTTTGTATGATTATGATTCTTTATATTTAATGTTTTCATATTAAATATGAGGAATCATATTATACAAAGTTGGAAATAAAAATAACCGTTGGATCAACATAATTGATTTAACGGTGAAATAAATTGGTAGTGATATAAGTAGTAATATTAATTGATATAACAATATCATATCCCATTGTTTAATCTATATCTTTTTTTTCTTTTATGTACGCCTGTAGATAAATGCTTGGTTCGGTAGAGAATTATTTTTCTACTTTTAAAATAAATTAATGCAAAATGTTAGTGGTTGATATTTAGTAGTGATAAAAGTTTAGAAAAATGAGAAATTGTAGAGGGTATGGATAGTGCAATTATTTTAATTAAAATGACTTTTGGGTATGTTATTGATGTCTCAAATACTATTTATTCAACATTATTCAAATAGTAGTTAGCATTTATGAATTTTCAGCATGCCGAACATTCTATATGTTGCACAAAATACTAGTGGCAACGTATTGTAAAAAGATGTATTTTTCACGAATTAGATTGGCATTGTCGGATGTTTAATTAACAATTTAAGTTTGTGACATAATATTCCACACTGCATTTGATATTGTGCTCATTTAATTAGCTTTTCTATTTATGTTGTTTTATATGCATCATTTGCACAAGCAATGTGGGGCTTCTTTCATGACTTTGTTATTGCCACTATTTTGGCCAGATGATGCGGGTGTATCTTCGGAAGAGGGTTTTAGTACTGGAGATGGTGATACTGAATATGGTAAATTCCGGGGTGAAGATCCAGAGCTGAAGGATAGGCTTTTACATAAGTTTGGAAGTCATATTGGTAATTTGAAATTGGAGTTTTCAAAGAAGAAAAAGAGAGGTAGGCTATCGAAAGACGCCAGGCAAACACTGCTTCAATGGTGGAATGTTCACTACAGATGGCCTTACCCAACGGTAAATATTTCAATATATATATATATATATATATATATATATATATATATATATATATATATATATAATGTAAGAATAATAAGTTTTACATCCAATTTTAACCGTTGATTTTTGTCAATCTAACATTTATCACCTAAGAATTGTTGGTCTAGTGGCGAACCTAAGATTGTTGGTCTAGTGGCAAACCATCCAGGATTTGACTTGCCCAAAAGATAGTAGTTTCGATATTCCTGAAGAGGGTAGAGAGTCTCAAATCTAAATCCGAATTAGTCGAGTTTATAAGAATTTCGGACACCAGTTGATATATATATATATATATATATATATATATATATGGATATGATCATTTTACACCAGTGTAAGTTACACTCTCGATTTTATCCATTGTTCTCACTTATATCTACGGGCTCTAATTTTTTAGTAATGTGAGCCATTGGATACAAGTTGATCAATAGTCAAGATTGAGTGTAAGACTTCTAACTCCTACACCGGTATAAGAATATCCTGCCCCCCACACACACACACACACATATATATATATATATATATATATGCGCATACACACACATCAAGCATGATATTCTTATATCGGTATAAAAATAAGATGTTTTGTGCAAAATCTTGATTATTGATTTGCTTGCATCTAACGGCTCAAATATCTAATAAATCAAAACCATTACATATAAATAGGATCAACAATTAAAATTGAGAGTGTAATGGATTACATGAAAACGTTGCTTGACCAGCAATTTAGTGAACCTAAGACTAAGCTTTACAATCAAAACCTTGTTTGATCATCCAGGAAGGTGATAAGATTGCACTGGCTAAGTCAACTGGGCTAGACCAGAAGCAAATCAATAATTGGTTTATTAATCAAAGAAAGCGTTACTGGAATCCATCTGAGAATATGCAGTTTTGTATGATGGATAATCTGACCGGACGGTTACTTACTGATGAATGAGGTATGTACGTGCATAACTCGTGTACATTCTCAATTCCTGATTGATTACTGCTTCTGCTTTCTTCTGTAAATTCTCAAGTAGAGTTTCTGACGTTGAAATGGTTACTTCTCCACAAAGAATGGGGAATGATAGTGTAATTTATTTGCTTCACTTGTATTCTTGATGAATAACTATTGACATTGTGAGTGGAAGGCTTATCCTTTTTTGGTTCGTTGTTAAATTATCATTTATCATTTTCAATATAGTAATATCAAATCCATGTAGTAAAGAATCATTTCAACCAAAAACTTTAAGTTATTGGATGAGGTTACATTAATGATTTTATATATATTTAACATGTCCCTTCACAAGAGAGCCAATTGATCAGTTTGAAAAGTGAATAATGCATCAGGCTTAACTTACCTGTGCTATTAAATTTCATTCCACGAAAAAAATGGGAGGTGGCGAAGTGTTGGGAAAAAATCGGTTCCCTCATATCGGCTTAGGGGCCTTTGCGGAAGTCAGTCAATGAGATCCTCGATCTCAGCAATACCTCGGCCTGAATTTCACCAGATCGGGCAGCGCAGCAGAAAAATCAAAACGAAAAAACACAGGAGAGAGAGAGAGAACACAAGCAATTTTAACGTGGGAAAACCTTCTTCAATGAAGAAGTAAAAATCCATGGGACCTAATCCAGATCAAAAATCCACTATGAAAATAATGGTTACAAAATAATCAGAATACACCAATGTGGTGGTTAACTCAACCTCTCCAACAATGGTGATAATCAAACTACCCTAGAGATGTTTCACTCAAACTCTCTCTAGAGATCTCTCAAATGCAAAGCATAAAGCTTTGCTCAAATCTCTCAAATAATTTTCTCTCTAATCTCTTAACCTTGCCTCCACCCACAACTAATGAATATATAGAGGAGGTGAGATCTAGGGTTAGGGTTTTTAGGAAACCCCTCAATGGGCTTGGGCTTAACATTGAAGGAGGAAGCCCAACAAATCTCCCCCTCTGACTTCAATGCGTCAGCTTCATCATCAACCCGGCTCCTTCACAGCAGTCTTCAAATTTCCTTGCTGGAACCAGCTTTGTCATCATGTCGGACCAATTTTGGTCAGTTTGCACCTTGACGAGTTCGACCTCTCCACCTTCCACCACATCCCGGATCCAGTGATACCTCACGTCAATGTGCTTAGTGCGGGAGTGATAGGTTGAATTCTTCGCAAGATGGATTGCGCTTTGATTGTCACAACTCAGCTTGTACTTGTCTTGATTATGGCCGAGTTCCGTGAGGAACTTCTTCATCCACAGCATCTCTTTGCTTGCCTCAATCGCGGCAATGTACTCAGCCTCAGTTGTTGATATCTCCTTGAGTAGGACTTGTTCCAATCGCGATATCTCCTTCATCCGCCGTCCGAGCGAGCTGAAATTTTTTTAGCAAGATCTTGACTCATTGTCTTTCATATCGACCGGTGGATTTCTTGATTCGATGTCTATATCATTCCTTGAAAATTCAAAATCAGAACAGTTTTTCTGGACGTTTCTACAACGAGCAGCAATTTTGTGAGGGTCATTTCTCCCAAAAGAACTGTTGGATTATCCTCAAATTTTGTCAGCAAGATTCCATTTAGGTTGTGGTTGATAGATAGACTAAATCCGCCCACTTCATTCCAATCAAGATGACTTTCTCCATGAAGCAGCTAGCTAGATTGTATGTCAAAGAGATTGTGAAACTTCATGGTATTCCTGAAAGCATAATCAGTGATCGGGATTCCAAGTTTACTTCACGCTTCTGGGAAGCATTGCATGAGGCCTTTTGGTACTCAATTGAGATTGAGTACAACATATCACCCGCAGACGGATGGTCAGACAGAGAGTACCATTCAGACATTGGAGGATATGTTGAGAGCATGTGTTTTAGAACAGGGAAATGCTTGGGACAAGTACCTGCCATTGATCGAGTTCTCCTACAATAACCGTTATCATGTCAGCTTGGGTATGGCTCCTTATGAGGCCTTGTATGGCCGTAGGTGTAGGACACCTACATGTTGGACGGAGATTGGAGAAAGATAATAACTGAGACCAGAATTGGTCCAAGAGACTACAAAACAGATTGAGATGATTAGAGATCGGCAGAAGAAAGCATAAAGCCGTCAGAAGATTTATTATGATGCAAAGCACAGACCCCTTGAGTTCTCTGATGGGGATCATGTATTTATTAGATTGTTATCCACCACAGGAGTTGGGCGTGCTTTGGGAGTTAGAAAGTTGAGTCCACGGTTCATCGGATCCTACCAGATAATAAAAAGGGTTGGACGGTGGCGTATTAGCTTGCTCTACCTCCTGTAACACCCCGTATATGTCCGGTTTGTTATCATATCATCGTATTAAGCCACACTTAATTTAAAAATGCGAAATATCTTTTTCTGTTCAATTATGACGTCATTATTATTAGCAAGTTGAATTACTTACTTCATTTCATAAAACATCGCCTGTATAAAAATTGCAAAAGACAGCTAACTGATATACCTCATAACATAAATGTGAGTATCTAAGTCACAGAACTACAACACGTAGACCGGACAACCCTGATAGTTTATACAACTCAAGCTGGAAGTACTAACATTAATGTGGCATGGACAAACCCCATGCTCACCAAATAAGGCAACAAATCCAAAAAGAGTCTCAACTCAAATATCAATCTAAAGACAGAAAACATAAACATCATCCAATATCCAGTCATGTCAGCATACAACATATATAATCAGCTAAGCTCTGGCCTCCTGCCGTCAGAGGTCTCAACCCCCGCATTACCTGAACTTGAAATATGTGTCCCAAACGTGGGGTGAGATCTCTAAAAAGAAATATCAGTAAGACAAGGGGTCCTCAAGGATCTTCCACCCCAAGCTCACTTACACGAGCAATATAAGTTCAAAAACATTTAACAGTATAAGTTCCAAAACTATGTAGTGCAACAGATATTCATGCCATGTGTGTTTTAACTATTCTACTGGCCAGAGAAATGTAGGACGTACGTCTACAACCCCACAATAAGTACAAGGAACACCGCTTGCACCTCACCCACAATAAGTACCACATACTCAGGCTTACTGTATAGGTGGAACACCACATGCATATCATAAAGGCACTCGCATATAACAGCTCAATAGCATTTCACAAATCAATATATCATGAAAACGACATCATGCATATTACCATACCCCCATGTGACATGGTGGAACCAACAATGGCTAAACCGAGGACACGAAAGCTTACCTTGAAAGCTAACAATCCAAGCAAAGAGTCAAACCAATCTCAAAGCCCAAACACAGCAGAATCACAATCTGTTTTGGACCAACAATATATCAATATTCATCTTTAACAAGCATAAGACACAAAGACAACGCCTTTCTTTTACGTTTTACGTCTTTAGGCTCCTCACTAAGCCACAAGCCCTTAATCACTTAGATTCTGACTTACATAATCATTACAGAAGTCCACAGTAGCCAATCATGGGTTCACAAACCCAAATAGCATTCTGTATGAACAATACCTTCACTGTTCACGAAAATCCAGAATATCCGGATATTTGTCGGGGGCATATCCGGATATTAATATCCGGATATTCAGATCCCCATATCCGGATATCAATATCGGGATATTTCGCGACAGAATGCAGTTCTGCATTTCGCGAGATATCCTTCCCAAAGGTCCAACTTTTACCGATTTCAGAAGCTTAAACATGCATTTCTAGGTGTGTTTAGCATTACCCAACCTTAAGTTATCAACTTTAGCTTATTACATGCATAAATGTTCCATTTTTAAGCCTTAAAACTCATGATCAAGGCTGCCAGCACTTACCCAAGCTTCAAACAGAAGCACAAGGTGATCTTGGAGCTCACTTGAAGCTCCCAAAGTCCAGCACACCCAAGGACACGAAAATGGTGCACACACAAGGTCCTTTCTCTCCAAAGGTTGCTTCTTGAAGCAACAAAATGCCAACACCAAGCTCCCACAACCCAAACAACAAAGGTCAGCCCCTCAACCCAACACACAGCAGCTGGACATCCAGAGAAAGATTACCCCTCACCCTCACAAAGGTATCCCTCACTCACACAAGTGTTTAGGATGAAGAAACAACCAAGAAATGGTCTCAAGGTTGAGTTTTGGTCAAGAACAAGGGAAGATGGAAATGGAACAGTGCAAGGGTGCACTTCAGCCGCCCAAGTCACGTATAAACAGAAAGTCTAGGGTTTTGTGCCCTAAGAATGAGTATTTATAGGCGACTAAGGTTTAAACGCACAGTATTAACGATAATTGCTAAGCTTAGCATTTTAATCCCAAACTTAGGATTCTGAACCTACTCATTTTTCTAAGATTTTTCATATTTTTATTTTATTTTTCGCAGCACCTTTCCGGTATGCGCTTTTCCCTAGCCAGTATCAGTTCTGACATAAGTTCTCATTATTTTTACTTGAAACTTGTTTTACAATTCCTATGTATTATTCTAGTGACATATCCATATTTTTTATAATTTTTCGGGATACTTCATCGTTACGCATTTATACCGAGTAGCAGAACCGGTATCTGCACTTTTCGTCCGAAAAGCGACTTTCAGCATTCTTAATCACTTTCTATATTTATTTAAGCCTTCTTATAATTATTAAGGTCAATTATGGAATTATTTCCTAATTTCACATAATTAATTAATTAACTTCCTTAATTAATGGTGCGGGTTCTTATATTCACCCCACCTTTTTAAGGATTTTGTCCTCAAAATCAGAAACATACCTGTCTCGGAAGTCGGGATACTGCCGGAGAAGCTCGTACTCTCGCTCCCAAGTGCACTCCTCAGGAGTCCTTCCGGTCCACTGCACTTTGACCATCGGAATGATCTTGCTCCTCAGATGCTTCTCGCCACGATCGAGAACCTTGAGTGGTCCGACGGGAGTCTTTAGGTTCTCTCGAACCTCCACATCATCTGGTTGCATCACGTGCGAAGGATCCGTTA